AGAGAGAGAGAGAGAGAGAGAGAGAGAGAGAGAGAGAGAGAGAGAGAGAGAGAGAGAGAGAGAGAGAGTCAGTGTGTTTGTGTAGGTGATTAAACGTGAGAACAGCTCTGGCAACGGTGATGTTGATGACACAGGTAAACCGTCTGCGAGGCGGCAGCGAGTGGAAACATGTGATTCCACCGGCCATTGTGAAAGCGAGTCCGTGGATATCAGAGGAACTGCTTGGTCCATTGTACGAAGATCCGGCATTCCTTTACAAGTATGTTTTGCTCCAGCCTGTGGCCCTATATAATTCCGGATCAGTGTTTGTGAACCCAGTCTAATCATTTTTGGATGCGTGTAACAGAACGTATGGTCCCTGTACCTGTATTTGGGGTAAATTTTCAGTCTACACACAGCCGTGATGATTGTACGTTCTATTCCGTCGAAGATGGTATCTTACTGTTACGCCACTAGTTGAGGCCGGTGCAATAGGCCCTGCCGCCAGTGCAACCTGCGGCTGTGACCAGCACTCCGGACCATTACCCTACAAGTATCTACGATCCTACCTCAGTGTGACCAGCACTCAGGACCATTACCCTACTAGTATCGAGGGGAACTTGGACCGAACAGCAGTGACAGGCACCAGGGCTAGCCATGACCCAGCCCCGGTGGAAGTGGAATCGAACGAGCAGCCTCGTCACACGGGAACTTCAGATGCCAGGCCCAAGCAATCTCCTACTAGCCCCTAAGTTGACCTACTAGTACACGCATTTGGATGCTTTCTGGACCTGTTACATTCAAACTGTTGGACTCGTCCGAATGCATCTGGTCCAGAAAAGCGACCAAGTGCATGTACAGTGTTTTGTAGTGGAGCCAAGCCCATAGAAAGCAAATCCTGCTATCTGCAGCTCCCCACACCACTCTGTACAAATCTTCAGTCTATCCCCATATATTCCCCTTTTATTCCAGAACACTGTTGCTCTGTTTGGCGTGTCTTTTTGCTTTTCAAAGTCTTTCATCTTTTCTCTTCTTTCTTCCTTTGGCAGATTACTACCTAGTACATATCCAATTCTGATTTGCATCTAACGTATGCCATGCGACAAGAGTTCAGAAAGCACGTCGGTTTTTCTTCACTTTTTGTCATCGTAGACTGAAAAGGTGACGAATGCAGATGATTACGGGTTATGGGTGATTCAGCTATTGCTTCGGCAGTTGTAACTTGTAATTGCCTTTTTGTTTTTCTCTTTTTGCTTTTTCTTGGAACAGGAACACTTGGATGTGTGAAGACTGCTGTCTAGAGCATTACAGCTCAATCCTATGGGAGCTAAGGGTTCGACATCCAACATGGGGACTTTTCAGCCAGACCGCTGACAAGGAGGAAGCATCCTTATTGAAGCCCGATGTTAGGTCAGCGACGTCCCCACTGAAATCACCAGACTTTGCCACTGTCGGATTGGACTCCGAGCCGATGGATTTTTGGTTGGCCAGAGCTGCGAAACTGAAGAGACAGAAGCTGAGGCAGGCGGCTCGGAAGAAAAAGCTGAGCCTTGCAGCGAAAGCAGCAGAAGAAGCTGCGGCGAAAGAAGCACAAGAAGCTGCAGCGAAAGCAGCAGCAGAAGCTGCAGCGGGCAGAGCTGCCGAGATAACTGGGACTGGAACTAGTGGGACTGATCCTGGTCCTGGTACAACAGCGGAAATAGATTCAATGGCAGAAGGAGCCTTCGTCTCTGAAGAGCACCATCAAGAGAACAGTGATAACAATTTAAGCACGGTACGAATACGGCTCTCTCTCTCTCTCTCTTTCTCTCTCTCTCTCTCTCTCTCTCTCTCTCTCTCTCTCTCTCTCTCTCTCTCTCTCTCTCTCTCTCT